GCTTTATCGCAGTTCTTTGTCTCCACCGAGTATTCCTGAGTCAGTATTTTTTGAGTTGATGAAATTTTCCACGTCTTCTGTTGAATTTAGTTTAAATAACACCATGTTTCGACAGATAGACGGGGTTGCTATGGGTTCCCCTTTGTGTCCGGCACTTGCTAATATATTTGTTGGCTTTCACGAAGAAAGAATACTAAAGAATGCACTTTGTTCTCAACTGTATTGTCGGTATGTTGTTGATACATTTTGTTTATTCAACAACGAACTTGAGGCTGATCAGTTTCTTTCTTTTCTAAATGGTATCCATCCAGCACTGAGGTTCACTGTCGAGAAGGAATCCAATTTTCAATTGGCCTTCTTAGATGTATTAGTACATCGAACACCAACAAGTTTTCTTACCTCGGTTTATAGGAAACCAACTTTTGAGACATGTAGCATCTGAGACGAAAAAATATAATGCGAATCGAAATACGTTTTTTTGAAATGTTATTATTAACATAACATATACAAACATGAAGGTTTATGTGTGTGTGTGTCGCAAAAATATAAATATAAATAAATATATATATATATATATATATATATATATATATATATATATATATATATATATATATATATATATATATATAAAGTAGACATAACACTTGTTTTTATATATAATAGTTTATATATAGGGCGTATACTTCTATGTATATGTAAATATACATCGAAGCAATGACACTGACGAAATCTTTTTGATACACGGAAACCCAAATTTTGAAAACATTAATTTCAGGTAGTCAGCTCTGACAGTCGGACTGAACATTTTTGCTGTAACACTCTCGTTTGTATATATTTTGTATTTGTCTTTTGGGAAAAAGAAGTTACTGACAGTTTCATTTTTAAGTAATATATTTGTTTAACTATTTTGTTTAACTCTTTCTTGTGTCTTTTATTTCTGGACCTAACACGGCCAAATAATATATATATATATATATATATATATATATATATATATATATATATATATATTATATATATATATATATATATATATATTGTTCTATATCATTTCGTCTTTAAATATGTTGCGTGTCATTTCGTCCTGAAGATTTAATTAGGTGAAACCTAGCGAGTGAGTTTCTGCTCTTTTAGATTATATATATATATATATATATATATATATATATATATATATATATATATATATATAAACGCTTGTAAGAACTTTACAAACATTTTCAAGGAACTTTCATATATCTATACATTTGTTTAGAATTTGTATGGAGGCAAATACAACGAATCTTCGAGTCATCTTTTTGGCTGGTTGTCAAGCCACCTTAAACTTCAATAGGTGAAAAAGGAAGGTTCTCTCACAAACCCTTCTTGAAAAAAAAATAACACTTCCTTCTCTATTCTCTTTGATTCCTTTCATCTTTTCATATTGTTATTATTATTGAAATTCTCTTTTTTTAGTGGTGAATCACACTCTGTTGACTCAATATATCAAAGCTCATAAAATATCAGAAACCTCGTCAATATCCTTGACAATTTTTTTGATGTTTATGTGTCTTTTTTGAATGTTTAATTTTGCCAATAATTTGGCAAGGGTCAAGAAGATCGTTCCATGTGCTACGGGTGTTACTGGCACAATTGATATTTGTTTTGTTTTCGGACCCGGTCTAACAACTTATTGAGCCTTTAATTTCTTTCACTTTGTTATTGTTAAAATACTGACCTTCATTATTCGACGAATCTTTTAACTTTTTACTGTATAAGAGTAAGTGCCGTTACCGACACTGTCGTTTGAACCTAGATCGCCAATGGGAAATACGGGCGATTCTATTATCAAGTAGATCATGTGATCATAAAGGAAGTGAATAAATAGAAAGTAGCATGATGGCTATACTATCACTTGTTTACTCTTCTTGTCTTATCCACTATTGCTATACATTCACTCTCTCTACTCTACTACTATACGGATACAGTCAGTTATGTGTTCGATACATGACTGACGAGGCAGATTTTTCCCCGCACTATGTTGCAATTTTTTACTGCGCCAAAAGTTATAGAACCCGGTATGTTCAGCTATTTATCCATAACTGGGAGAAGAAGAGGATTCATACCATTCCCAAGGGTATTAGCATGCAAGTGAATGTAATGGATTCGACTGGAATTCGAATTCGGCTCTACGATTCATCAATCCGAGCTGCTGTCCATTACTCTACCGTAGGTAAATAGGAGGACAGACCGGGCTCTCTAGCCTTGGATGGAAACTGGTCTACTGTAAGAAATAGCAACCTTCTGCGTAAAAATCTGCCTCGTCAGTCATGTATGTAAAGATACATGATCGCCTAAGCGTGTATCACGCATGGCACATAACTCACTATACCGATTACGATTCTCTACTGATCATTATAATATTTGGCGATTACTACTTGAACAAGTGTTACTAATGCGGATATTATTGGAAGGTGTTATTACTAGTACCAGCGTCTACGAAGTCTCGAAAATAACGTGCATTTTTGGAAGTGACAACGAGATTTCGATTGGCATTGCAAAATTGACAAGCGATGCAATGCAACATCACAAAACTCATATAGACACTTTTTTCTGATCCTCGTCTTTATCGACGGATCAGTTCCAACAGATTACCTCAAGGACTACAATTTGGTAACAGGCCACCAATTGTTGTGAAATAATAAAATTGTGGGAAAAAAAAAACAAAAAAAAACGATATAACACTTCTACAAATTTAACAATTTTACTTATAGTTTAACATGTTCATTGATGTGGAATAATGATATCAAAATAAGACATGAAATATCATCAGTATTCGATACAAGTATATTTTTAAAATACTATTTGTGGGTTTTGAAACAATTCCCTGCATTTGAGTAGGCGAATTTTGTATACGTTAAATAATATTTCCTTTAAAAACGAATACGTGTATCAATCGCAGAAGCCAGTGAAACTTCCGGTTAATGAAACACTTCTTTCAGGAAAATAGGTTTTCTCAAGCCCTCTAGTTGATGCTACTCCAGTATTTATAAGGGTTTCCTTCCTAACATTTTATTTGAAGTAGTGTGCGACGTCACCATTTGGTTACGTCATTAGTTTCTCTTCAAGTTACTTGTGATAACTATTTTAGTTGTTGTTGCTGTTGAATGTCCTCAACTGACGTAGTTTTTGCTATTTGATACAATTATTTGTTTTCGATTCCCTCGCAACAATATTCAATGGTCCATGCTAAGACCCTTCGGTTTTTATTCGTCCGAAGACATTTTTATCCATAGTTCTCAGAAAGCGATTGCATACAGTTGACACCTTAGAAATTTCTCACTAGACTTCTATATTGCCCGTGAGTGTTAACTTCTCCAAACATTCTTTCCTCGTTATTTGTCCTAAATTTTTAAAACTGTATTTTTCTAAATATAAATGTCCATTTGTTTCCATTTCCTTTAAAAACGTCTCGTTGTCTACACGTTCCCTTCATACCATCCTCAATATCCCTCTGTAGAACCACGTTTCTATTGACTCACATCTTTTCTTCATCTGCGAGGAGATTATCCAGTATTCACTGTCATATAGGAGGACCAATATTAGATAACAGTTCCGTAATATGTTTTCCTTTTCTTTTTTTTTTTAAGGATATTTTTCGATTTCTTAACCTTTATTCATCTTTTTCAATGCATCCGTTGCTATTCAATACGCCTTCGGATTTCAGTGTCACATTTTGTGCATTCGTTTGATTTTCACATCCCCAATATCTACCACGCATCTTGGCTTGTCGCTTTTTCTAACAACCAAACATTATGTTTTCTTACAATTTATAGTCATTTCTTGATATTAAATTGATTAAATTATCTGTAAGTCACTTTCTCTCGTTCGTTATTATTTGCCTGCAGATTAAATCAGTTCTTTTACCCAGCTGGTCGTCTTCTTCTCTTTATTACAGGCAACAGTTTTTATTTGTTTATTTATGAGAAGTATTACTGCAGTAGAGTGATAGGATATCTTGACTGTCCACTTTTTGCATGTATAAGTAATCAATTGACATTTTTTTCGAGTTACCTATTTCACGATCTGTTGTCTGGCCAGCTGCTCTGAGGCGAACTATTCCGTAACAGTATTGTCTTATATAACCAGGACAGTTGAAGCTACCAGTAAAAGACAAGGCAAAATGTTCAAATTAAGAAGAAAAAGAAATTTAGAAATTCACGTGAGACACTGGATTTCTTTCACATTAGCATGTATTGACAATAAAAGAGTAAATTCCACTTGAATCGATCCAAACACGAGATTCGTTTCTTTTCCATTTTACAATTTCAAAAGAATGTTGAAACGCTTAAGTCATCAAATTGTACCAAGCGAAGTTGGCAAGAGGTCCAAAGATCTGTTACACGTAAAGTTCTTCGTATTAACACTAAAAATATATATATATATATATATAAACGAATTTTTTGTGAATAAGTCTGTTATCTGAAAACATGATGCGTGTTTATTAATATTTAAGTTATACAATAGATTTTTTTTTAAAGATTAGAAAAGATAAACATTAAAACGATCAGAGATAAACAGAAACACAAAGGGGTAAAGTAATCATATTCAAATAAATATACAAAATGACAGAGATATACAGATATATAGATATAAATAGAAGTCGAAAAACAGAATTAGATAGATAGATAGATAGATAGTGTTATGGGACCTTACCCATAATAACGTAATGGACTATTCCATAAGTAATAAATACTGCGCCTCAAGAGGAAGCAGGGAGTTCGTGAGGTCCGTCAGAAGTCCGTCAGGAGTCTCTTAGTCAGTCAGTCGAGTCAGAGGCAGTCCGAAACAGAGTTGCGTTCAGACAATTACTACTAAACCAGATTATTCGTACTAACACTTTCTACTTCTCTGTATATATTCCTGTTTGTAATATATCTGTGTTCTTCTATATACGTATTCGAGTTCTTCTTTATTGGTTCTACCTTGCACTATCATCGTGGTACAATGAACCGGACCATAACAGATAGATCGATAGATAGATAGATAGATAGATAGATAGATAGAAGAACCGGCTTAGATAGTGATATCATGGAATATGCGTACACCTGTGTTTCCCCTCACTGGAATATGATCGGCTGGTGTCCGTCATAAATACAAACAGAGGTGTAGGTATGACAGAGTCAAAGAGCCTTAGTCTGAGAGCTAAGTCTATAACGACGCCCATTGGACTACGCCATTGATCTACACGTCTTACCTGTGACTACGACGCGTACCAGTCGATTACTGCTACCGTATTCTACTTGGTTATAGTAGCCAAAACCACTTAGCTACTTCGTTCAAATATATCCCTCTCCGGGACATACTAGATAGATAGATAGATAGATTGGGACAGATTAGGTTAGATAGATGAGAAGAGATTAGGATAGATAGATATGAACAGATTAAGACAGAAAGATACAAAGAGATTAGTATAGATAGATATTAATTGATTAGACAAGCAGATAGATAGATAGATAGATAGATACCAAATTAGGATAAATACATTATACCGAATATGTTTCAGAATATGTTTCTAATAAAACAACATAAATTAGTTTTTATTGTGTACGCTTTACGCAGAATTTATTTTTCTTTCGAATAATGTAAAAATTGGATATTTTTCTACAACTTCAAAAATTTAAATGCTGGATTAATTTAAATTAACCAAATCTAATATCCGGGTTTTATTCTATCTTCCTGTCATGAACTATTTCTCCCCAAAAATACTTCTTCTCTTAGTTTGAATTTAACGTTGGTCATATTCGATTGGTTGATTAAAAAGCACTCAAGCCCGTAATATATATATATATATATATAATGGTGAACATTGAAGTCAACACTCAGAGGAGACATAGCTGTTACATGCTAGACGCAATATCGTCAGGGCTTTATATATATATATATATATATATATATATATATATATATATATATATATATATATATATCTTACAATTTTATTCGCCTATTCAGTAAAATTTTCAAATGGTCATCTCAATATAGACATTATTTATATGTACAGAGTAATGTTGTCATTATCTGATATTGTACGACCTATGACCTCTTACTCTATACGGCTTGAAAGATGACTATTGCACCCCGTTTTATATATATATATATATATATATATATATATATATATATATATATATATCCACAATTTTGTTCGCCTATTCAGTAAAATCTTCCAATACATATATATATATGTATGTGTGTGTGAAGTCATTATCGAATTTTAACTGCCAGTTTAACTTTAATTTTATTTAAATTTTTTTCGGGTTTGGTTACTTTTTTTGTTTAGTTTAATGTCTTGTCTTTGCCAAAAGTATATTACATTATCTGCCTTGCATGTATTTGGAATTGTGCTGATGATGGTTTTATAGGGTATTCAGTTTTATATTTCTGTAAACTGTCACCATTTTATATTATTAATTACACGCATGCGCATTGTTTCTTTTTTATTATTATTTTGTCAGCTGTACAGTATAGTAGGGTCAAAATGCGCAAAATGAGTCAAAGAGAAAATATGATTCCATTTACTCCGTTTTTTTTTTATTTACGTTTGAACTGCTTATTATTTACACCGGAATATCTAATACTAATACTTCAAACTGTTTGGGTGTCAATTTGTGGACAGTTTATTATATTTGAAAAGAGATGGACGAGTCTAATGTTGAGTATTCCCATTTTAGATTTTTATTTAAATTTAATTTTTCAGAGACAAAAATGCCCATTCATATCTTTCATCAGGGACTCAAAAATTTAACCCCAATTTTTTGAAGTAAAAGAATGACTGCTTTTTAGACCCTATATCTGGCAACAGGACAGTGACCCATCATAACACAAACAGAAGACCCCAATCATGGCTGTCAAACAATCTTACGACCACATCACCCTTTTCATCTGACCACCAGACTGCAAAGCACTTTGATCATTATGTGTGGTGCGCAGTTGAGCGTGAAGTCGGCAAAATTTTCAAAAATTAAATAAAGATGAATTGAATGATATATTATGACAGCATTCACCAACTAAAAAATAAACCAGACCGTCGAGAAAGTTGCAGAAGATTCTTTTTGTTTATATTCTGTGTTCAAAAAAAAAATGGCGATTTTAATGAATAAATTTACTTAGTATTTCAATATATTTTTTGTTTAAACTTAATAAATTTATCTGTTTAAATGAGATATCAGTGTTATTTTCCTTTTTGTGTGTAATTTTACATAACATTTATTCATTGCATTGTGTGTTTGTGTCTATGTATATATGTGTGTTTCTGTGTGTTTGTGTAATTCAATCAATGAATTTAAAAATTAAAAATGACAGTTTGAAAAAATTTCATAAACTTCAAGCCATGAAGATTGTTTCTGTAGCAGGCAACAGACAATTATTTTGGATCACTTTAAAATAATAAACCTACTCATTTTTTCAAACACATATATACACGCATATTATATATATATATATATATATATATATATATATATATATATATATATATATATATATATATATATATATATATACGCACCATCCCTGATATTCAACTACATTTTTATCTATAAATATAGCCATATTTTTAAATATTTTTTATATATATATATATATATATATATATATATATATATATAAATATATTTAACTTTTTTTTTTTTAATTTGATATTATTTAAAATATATATTATTAAACATAACAGACAATGAATGTCTATTATGTCCGATCATGAGTCGTTGTCGTGTTCGGATGTCTGCTTCAATTTCTAGAGTTGTTGTTCAAATCGATGATGTGAGAATATTGTTTTTAAAAGTGATAAATCTACGAAAACTTCTTATGTGTTTATCATTTTAAGTGACATAGACTCAAGTATAATCTAATTAGTAGAAATCTTTTCATATTTACTACGTTTTCCTCTTGTCTAACTAAGAACTAAGACCATGAAATTGAAGCGAAAACAATCGTCCAGAATTCAAGCTCAGAGTCCAAAGAAAAAAACCTATAAAAACGATTCGTAAATAAAAAACTATTATAGGTTTACCTTGATATATTTTCTTTTTAATATATATATATATATTTTTTTATATATTTATATATATATTTATTAAATTAATAAAAGAAAGGTTTACGTTTTGAATTTATAGGTCTGATGAATTGAATCAATTACGATTCCAATGGAATAAAATATTTTGGTATATTAGTGTTTAAAAATTTTATATTTATAATTTATATATATATATATATATATATATATATATATATATATATATATATATATATATATATATATATATATATATATATATATATATATATATATTAGATTTTTATTTTGCAACGCGTATATATTTACAGTTATTCAAGTTTTTACAAATTTAAAAAATCATATTCACCAATTTGCAAAAAAGTTTTTGCTATTATTTATCCTAGATTACGTCATATATTTTATCTTTGGATTCTTTGTTTTAAATATTTAAATTTAAAGAGGCTCAATAGCAAGTTAGTTGAAATAAAGACCTTCGAATAGGTCATTAAGTATACTCGAAAAAAAAAAAGAAACCCACAGGATAAATCCCAATTAATTTTTTTTTATTGTATATTATAAAGTGTATAATTATGATCACGTCATACTGTATTTACGCTGTCTTCAATCTCAAAAATTCACAAATGAAATGTTATAAAGTTTAACACTATCCCATATATTTATATAAACAATATACTTCGATGCAGATATTTTTTCACTGTATATTTTCTTTTATTGTTTGCAAGTCTCACTTTTGATTGTAATTATTTTTTGAAAAACTCAATTTTTTATTGATCCAACAACCCGACATAGCTGTAATAGAAGCTAAACAGTCTTTTATTTGTTTTAATTCTCGCGTTTCTATAATATTCGTGCTAACCAGAACAATTCGTTAAATTGTGAAAATAAAACCTAACTTAATATATTCGTATAAATAGATATTATAATTTTTTTGAGTTATTGGTACCATTTTGAAAAAAAAAAATGTCATCTCGCAATGTTTTTTTGAACGAAATGGTTGGTCAGGTGACATGCGGTTGATATACATTTTTGTGGATTTTGGAAGAATCGTTTAATGGCGTTTTGGAAATAGATAATTCTTGGATTTTGAATATTTAATTGCGACACTCGATTTAAAAAACAGTGCGAAAGGAAAACAAATCAAAATTTTTTAAAAATTTAGAGAATTTTTGAAGTTTTCAAAAAATACATGCCGAGAATATTTTTTTTTTGTTTGGAAAATGGAAATAATATTTAATTTCATTATTATTATTATTATTTTCTTTGATTTCTGGCGTTTACACATTTCTTTCCGGGTCCCGCCCAGGGACCTAAGGTTAGAAATGGCGTCATGACACTTTCCACTGACAAAAAAAAAAAAAAAAAAATTAATTAGATAAAAACCCTTCGTAAGGTGTGGGGCTGTACTTGTCAGAACAATTTTTTTCTCCTTGAGGCATGGACTTCCAGGAATCCCTTCAATTAGTCTACTGCAATCTTTTCCAACCAGTCCTAGGGCTCCAACTACAACAGGGATTGTTGATGTTCCCATATGCCACATTTTCGAGATTTCTATTTCAAGGTCCTTGTATTTGACAACTTTTTTGAATATCTTCAAAGATACATTGCAGTCAGTAGGGACTGCCATATCAATAAGGAGGCACCGTTTTTGTTTGTGGTCTTTAATAACAATATCTGGCCGGTTGGCCTTGATTGTTCTGTCAGTGTGTATTGTGTAATCCCATAGAATTGTAACAGGTCCCATCTCCGTAACCGGGTCTGGGTGGTGTTCATACCGGTTTCTTTCAGTTTTCTTCCCGTAGAAGTTGCAGATTTTCCAGTGCAGATATTGGCCCACTCTGTCATGTCGGGTTTTATATTCAGTGGGTGCCAACACCGTACAACCTGATACAAGATGATCAATCGTTTCTGGATATTTATCACAGAATCTGCATTTTGGGTTGACACAATATTTTTTTATATATGTGCTTGATAATTTAAATTAGTTAGCAAGCATTGGTCCTGTGCAGCAAGGAT